AGCTGGGAAGCAGCACCTCCCCAGCAGAGGCTGGACCGGAGCAGGGGGCAGCCTCAGCCCCAACGTCACACTCCAAAGCCTTTAAGCAGGGCCAAGCAATGCTGCCAACCCATCCGCAGGCTTAAAAGAGCACATGCCCTGAACACTCACCTGGAAGCTTAAGTGCTTTAAAGGCAGCAGTGTTATTTTATCTCTCGCTATTAGAAGCACCAGTGGTCAGCTAGAAATCCATATAAAGCAAGCCAACAGCTTCTGCAGATCTAGTAAGGCCACTAAGGGGCCAATACAAACCACTTCTCACTTAGCTGCCTTCCATAATGTGCTTACAAATAGCAGAAAACAACAGAATTACTTCCCCTTCGAAGCACATCAGTACACTATCACAGCCTTTGCACCAGCTATGGCAGGAGGTGAAACCTTGTTGGGCTGCAAGCCCAACGGGTGTGAGGCTGGTGGGGAGCAGAGCCTCACTGCCCCTGATGCAAATACAAATCCAGGTGCCGTCACACAGGAGAGAAGTAGAGAGCTGGGAGTAAGCAGGAGTACTGTGGTGGATGGAAGAGGTTTATTCTATTTACCTTCCCTCACTGCTTTTCCCCACAACTGCTTTCAGTGCGTGACAGCCGTTAAAGAAATAACAGTCATTTCTGCATTCGACAGAGATTGCAGAACACCCTGCTTGCATACAGTGACTCTGGACCCAAACGAACTCCCCCAAGTTAATATTGTGGGGTGTTTATGCAGCAGAGTCTTTCACAGCCTTTCTCTGTCTAAAGCATGTGAGTACTTAAGTTGCCAGATATACACGTGACTATTAAAAATGTAATTAATTGAGTCAGTGATGATGAACTCCTGGCACAGGTATCAGGCAGGGCACCCATGGAGCTTTGGGCTGGCATCCCTAGTGGATTGCATGGCTTTTTATAAGAAGCTTGGCAGAGGTCTTCTCCATAATGGACTAAATTATGGGGAAGAGCTCACCAGTGACTAGATCTGGGCATCAAAATGCTTCCTACCTTCTTGGTCTAATTTTTTTTTTTTTTTTTTTTAAAGAGAAACTGCATGCCCAGAACAATCTGGTGACCTCAGAAATGGGGTAGAACAATCTCTGGCATGTGCCATGTCCCCACCATAGTCATAAGTAAATCACGGAGGCAATTTCTTGAATTTGCTTGATGCAGATCTCAGCAAATGGCACGCCAGCCTCCTCGGGACAAACGCTCACCAGCAGCTTTCTTGCTATGTGTTATTTTTGCACATATTCCATCTGACTCAGAGCCAAACGCAAACCTGAACGCACAGAGCCATGGCACCTTCTCCAGAGTTGTTCCAGCCAGCGAGCAGCTGGCACCATCTCTGTGCATCGTCTCCAGCCTCCTTCGCCTACACCGGGGGAGCACAAGCATTGCAAAGAGGAGCTGTTTGCCACAGAAAAGTTTTCTGAAAAATGTTATTCCTGCAATGTGCCTCACTAATCCATCCTCTCTCCAAAATGCTTTGTTGTGTCTGAGCACACAGGAACAAATATGGCTGTACAGCTCACTGCTTAGGGACTACATTACACAATAATACGATGTTAGCTGGATTTGGGTTTTGTACCCCACACTGTATCATGGATGGGCTCAAAGCAGAGTCTCAGATTTATGTGCTTTGAACTCTGAAGTACTAAAACAACTTCTGCAGATTTTCACTCTTTTAAAGTGAACTTTCAAATCTGCATGTGTGAAGAAAAGATGATTTGTACTCATAGGACAGTTGTCTTTCCAAGCTTTGTATAATGCACATCAACAGTATTAAATGTCCAAAAGCCACAGATGACATGCCTTGAAAGCTAGTAGAAAGGAGAGTTTCATAAGAATTTATAAGAATTCTTGTGTAATGTTGCAGTGAGGGTGGTCCAGCACTGAGACAGGGGCCCAGAGAGGCTGTGGCATCTCCAGCCTTGCAAATTTTCACAACCTGATTGCATGAACATGATCTGGTTTGGGAGGGAGCCCTGCTTTGAGCAGGGAAATTGGGCCAGAGACCTCCAGAAGTCCCTTGCAACCTACATTATG